ACCCAAAACCAGTCTGTGAATGAAACGTAACATCCAAGCTCCCCGCATGCCTTTATTCGTTCTTCGTACAAGACGAATTCATCTTATCTTGCGAATCGTAGCTGGCTGACACAGCGTGTGGTTAGAAGTTGTCTTAGTTTTCATTAGTAACTCGACGCGAATTCTGGTGTATTGCGGATATACAAGAACTTTCTTAGCCTCGGCCAAAATGAACTAGAAATTTAGTAACCTTGAATGTTTAGTTACGATACATATGTATGTTGTTTGTTTCCATAATTAAGTTTCGGAAAAAGTGTTAATATGCAAGAGATCAGATCGGAGGGGACAAGAAGGTCTCGTGCAACTGCAGTTTAGTAATTGTGTAAGCTCGAAGCTGGTGTAAAAACAAAAGCACCAATTTATTACAAAATGTGGTGTTCGAGAAGGATGGAGAAGATCAGTTGGACCGATTATGTGAGAAATGAAGAAGTGTTAATTAGAGTCAGTGAGCAGAGGAATATCCTACATGAAATAAGAAAACGGAAGGCTAATTGGATTGGTCATGTTTTACGCAGAAACTGCCTTCTAAAAGAAGTTATCGAAGGAAGGATAGATGAGCGGATAGAAGTGACAAGAAGACGAGGAAGAAGACGTAAGAAGATGCTGGATGACCTTGTGGACAGAAGAGGATACTGTCATTTGAAGGAGAAAGCTCTAGATCGCATTAAGTGGAGGAATTGTTTTGGAAGAGACTGTGGACCTGTCGTCTTGACAGATTACTGATGATGATGATGATGATGATGATGATGAGCCTTACGAACAGGAGCAAGTAACACCTCCTGTAGGCAGAATTACGGAAGAAAAGCCATGTATATTTATATTTGAATTCGCAACGTGTGTGTGAATGCCGTATGTTGAAAATATGAACCAGCAACTTGTTACTGATGACTTGATGAGATAACGGCCTATGTCACTGACGATGACGCACGCTCCCTCGCTCCTCGTAGATGGATTATATTTTTGTTACAAAATCACAGCCGTCAACAATGAGTTTCCACATGCCTCGTATAAAGATGTGTAAGCCCTGTGAAGCATACAGCTTGCTTTCCAGTGAGTGGATTTAGTTAACCCTTTTAAACTCTGAACTCATAACTGTCCGAGGCAGGACAGATGGAAAGAAAGAGAAGGGACAGAAGAATAAGAAAGAGATGGAAAAGGAGAAGTTATAGCAACAAAAGGAGGAAAAGCAGAACGAGAAGAGAATGGGAACGATATCAGGAAAAGGAGAGCATGGGAATGAGAAAAATGCTAGGGAATAATAGGGGAAAGTAGAAGAGGAGAAGCGGCAAGAGATGAAGGAAAAAAAGAAAAAGAAAAGTGGAAGGAAGATAAAGATGAAGCTGAGAAGAAAGAAAGGGCGACAGGAAGGAAAAATAGCAAGTAGAATATGAAGGACACAAGTGGAAGAAAGCAGAAGCAGAGAAGGGTAGGAAGTATCATTTTTGATATTTTATGTTTCTTATATAGCTGCACTATTCAGAAAACCGTCTCTCCGAAATGCAGTAGAATCCAATTTACCGATGTACTGTTTGCATTAAAATAATATACAGAATCCATCATACAGGTGTATCCAATTTATATCATTTTTACGGATCAAATACTACTATGTTTCGGTCATACAGGTACGATGACAGGAGAGACCAAATATTTAAGAAAACCGTACAATATAGACACACATTTTAAAATATCTACCTTATTTAAGAGGAGCTGGGATAGCGCAGTCGGTACAGTGACTGGCTACGGGCTGGACGACCGAGGGGACGGAGTTCGAGTCCCGGTGGGGGGTCCACCCAACTTCCTGTCCAGTGGGTACCGGAGACTTTCCCTGGGGTCGACTCAGCCTCTAACAGAAATGAGTACCAGGAATTAATTAAATAATTTTCCTGGGGAGTAAAGGGCGGGCGTCGCGTAAGGCTGATAACCTTACCGCCATCTTTGAACCGATTGTCTAGATCAGTGTTTCCCAACCTTTCTGATGCCGCGGACCCCCTGTACCGAATGTTAATTCACCGCGGCCCCCATAAAACCCAAAATGGAAATTTTTTAATTTTACGAGTACATATCATAAAAATGAAGCAGTAACTTAAAATTTTACAACACTAAATGTGTCATTTATGACAATAAAATACTGTTATAAATGGAGATATTCGGAAGATTACGAACATATCAATTAGGCGTAATATTATGAATTTAACATTCACCTAATGTGATGGCTGGTGCTGTTTTTCAGACGTCAACTTTCGAATGTCAGGATCAAAACTGGATAATTTCAGACGTAGATCTGGCTCCACGTTAAGTCTGTTCCTATATCTGTTTTTCATGTGTACAAGATGAGAAAATGTTGTCTCGCACAGATATGTAGTGGGAAATGGCAACAGATGTCTTACAGCCCTTTTGGAAATTTCAGGGTAAACAGACCTAGCTTGGAACCAAAACTCCAGTAACGGTAACGAAGGAAACAGCAATTTGAACGTCGAATCACAGGACAGCTCGATAAGTTGCTCTTCCTCGGCAGAAGGAAGTTCAAATTCAGAGTCTACAAAGGGATTTTTCATCCAGTCGTTATTTTCAAGACCAAACGGAAAATACAGACGTAGTTGAGACGCCAATGACCTCATATGTTCAATCATACTTTCAGCAACATCACTAGAAAGGTGTTGTTCACTGGAATCAATGAAATCACTCAGCATGTGAAAGGAATCGTATTTTCCTTTCTCGATACGGCTGCACCACAAATTTAACCTCTTGATTGTTGCCTCTATCTTGTCTTGCACAGAAAACACGGTGACAGATGTACCTTGAAGGCTCGAGTTAAGAGTATTCAAGATGTTAAAAATGTCCGCCAAGTAAGCAAGAGAGGAGAGCCATGCGAAATCATTTAAATAGTGTGTTAACTGAAATTTAGAGTTTATGAGGAACAACCTTACTTCGTCTCGAAGCTCAAGCAACCGCGTCAAAACCTTACCCCGGGACAGCCATCGGATTTCTGAGTGCAATAATAAGTGTTCGTGATCACTTCCCATTTCATTACAAAGCGCAGAAAATAATCGGCTGTTAAGAGGACGGGCTTTAATAAAATTGACAATTTTTACTGCCTCGTCTAGAACGATTTTCATTTTGGAGGGCATACGGCGTGCAGCTAATACTTCGCGGTGTATGCAACAATGTGTCCATTTAACAAGAGGTGCGACTTTCTGGATACGTGCGACCAAACCATTATGTATTCCCGACATTGCCTGAGCACCATCTGTGCTGATACCTACACATTTTTCCCATTGAAGTGTATTTGTAGTTATGAAGTCATTGACAACTTTGAAAAGGGCTTCAGCAGTTGTATTAAGAGGTAACGATTCACAGAACAAAAAATCTTCACAAACTTTATTTTCGTGTTCATATCGCACCAAAGCTACCAAATTAGCATTATTTGAAATATCGTGGCTTTCATCCAACTGCAACGCAAAATATTCACTATGACGTAACCGTTCTAGCAAAATATCTTTCACATTTTGAGCCATCTCGTCGATTCTTCTTTTCACAGTATTGTCAGATAACGATATTAGAGACACCTCGTTGGCATGTTTTTCACTAAACAAGTTCTTTGTTATCGTTTTTGTAGCAGGCAAAATTAAATCTTCCCCGATTGTATGGCGTTGTCCATTTCTAGCGATCAGAAGGGCGACTTCGTAAGAGGCAAGAACAGCCTTTTCATTTTTCGTTCCACATACAATGTCCTTAACTAAATTCTGTGAACCACAAAGTTGCAGTTTCTTATTTTGAAAATATTATATTGGCTTATTAACTGATTCGCCATGTTTCGTTTCAAGGTGGCGTCTCAACTTCGACGGCTTCATAGATTCATTCGATAACACTTCGCAACAAAGAACACACTGTGGTCTGTCTTCGCCGTCTTTATTCAGAACGGAAAATCCCATTTTCAAATAAGATGGACAATATTTGCGTGATTTTTTGAGGGAAGGAACTTTATCTGCCCTGGTACTATTTTCGACAACACTAGATCCACTCGGATTATCGTCTGTCTTACGTTTCAATGATCCACACTTTAACCACCGATCCATATCTAAATAAGATCGTGAACAAACTGAAAATCAGAAGTTTCGTTGTGAACTTAATTATTTGAACAAAAGCAGAAAAACTGAATATTACACCGAGAAAAACACACTTGTATAATATTATAAAAATTCACTGCACAAAAACTAAAGAAACACGGGTTGTTCGCTCTGCCACTGAAATGAATAAGAAACGTGGTCAATGGTCCCAGGTTTATTCCCAACCAAAGAGGGATGGATTTGGTGGGGGAGGAGGGGAGAATGGTCGGACAGCAGTCCACCCTGAAACACGGGTCTGAGATGCAATGGACCGACCAAAAGAAAATGCCCTTGGAATAAGCTACACAAATCGTTGGTTATTCACCTCTGCTTTACAAAGGGAAGAAGTAACGGTACCAACAGTTCCGTTAAATTTTACTTCAACCATGGGCCTCAAGAGCCAGAGATATACATTGCAAATATCCCAGGTGTGAGGAACATGATAAGATAAAGTTTAATGAAAATAAACTATCCCGCGGACCCCTTTTGAATTACTCGCGGACCCCCAGGGGTCCGCGGACCACAGGTTGGGAAACACTGGTCTAGATAATGTGGGACCCTCAGGTCTCACAACCCTATGGGCCTTCACGGCCTGGTATAGGGATAGCTTTACTTTTTCTTGTTACTGTTACACACACACACCACTGTCCTGAGTCACTTTTTCGCTGCCATTCTGCAGGCATCGTTCTCTTGGTTCCTCGGAGGTGAAGCACTGCAGCCCAATACCTCACAAAAAATACACGGACAAGTAGTCTTACCCATCAGGCGGTACTTAGCCTCTACAATGCGTGTAACGGAGTTCCGTATGAGACAAAAGACAGCCGATGATTTCACGTTCTGTAATTTTCTTCACAGATGGAATTGCCGGCCTCCGACTTCGAGACGCTGCTAGACATCCGCGACTTCAAATTCCGGATTAACCAGCCGTCGTGCAGAGGGGAACCAGAGGTTCTGATTATCGTGCATTCAGCTCCCCGCAACTGGGAGAAGCGCATGCAGATCCGCAAAACGTGGGGCTCTGACCTACAAGGTCATCTACTATTTATGCTTGCAGCTGTGGACTCCCCCATGCTGCAGGTATGACACTCAAGACATTCTCCAGCATTCGAAAAATCTGCTTGCGTAGAAAACGTACCAAACAGAGTTCATATATTATCAGGCATTTCAGGAAGAACTTAATTGCCCTTACTATCCTTCTAATGCTCGTTTACGTAGTGAGACTAGGATAAGGTCAAGTTGTGCCTGTGTTTAATTAATTAAGCATCACATCATGAAGACATATGGCAGAATGAAGGTCTAGCTCCACTCTTCTTGACCTCGGCACTAGAGGGATGTGAGTACTCTGCTTCACGTCCCGGCCGCTTTACCCCCGGGGAAAGAGTCTCCGGCACGCATTGGTTAAGAGACTGGGATGACCCCAGAGCCGGTTTTGACGCCGTGGAGAAGAGAAAAATCTCTTGCACCAGCCAGGAATCGAATCCCGGACGTCCAGATCGTAGCCTGTGGCTATACTGACTGAGCTATTCCGGTCTTTTAATGAGTTTCGGGGACTTGTAAAATAAAAACCTGACAACTGAGTGATCCATTCTGGTGCGTAATTTAAGCCTTTTTTTAAAATTCGTTTAGAGGGGGGTGAAGTCCAACTGCGTCCACTCGGCACGGCGGCCACTGATTCGCCCATTGTAGCCTGCCCCGGGTGATTATGATGATGGAGAATTTGATGGAATGAAGATTAGCACGGGAAACCGAAGTACTCGGAGAAAACCCGCCCCAGCGCCACTTTGACCACCATAAATCCCACTTGACCAGACCCGGGATCGAACTCGGGCCGCCGCGGTGGGAAGCCAGCGACTAACCGTTTGAGCTATGGCGCGGTCCTAATTTAAGCCTTACTAAGCCCTACAGGTTCCGTTTCTGTTAAATTTGTCAAATATAACCCCAAATTTGCCGGTCACGGTAGCAGAGCGATCTAAGGCATGCACTGTCTTCGATCTCTGGGAGGCCGGGATCGTGGGTTCGAATTCCACTCTGGGCATGGATCTTTGTTGTTTGTGTGTGTGTGTGTGTGTGTGTGTGCGCGCGCGTTTTTCTGTTTGTGTACAGGAAGGCCTTGCGACGAGCTGATCACCCGCCCAAGAAGTCATACCGAATGTACGTTTATTGCTAGGCAACGACTCGGTAAGTACATTTCCGAGGCAAAGAATACACAAGCAAAATTGAGTAACACGACTTCCCAACGACAGAGAGACTGTGTTTTCTGCGTGGTCCGTGCAAAGTGGCAATAGAGAAGAATTGTGTTGTGTCGAGTGGAATCGAGTTTCCAGATGCCGATCTGCTTTGGAACAGAGGAATTGAATTGAGTTGGCAGTTGCAGAATAATGGCAATAACCCAGCTGGAGGACCACCGCTTGTCAACTATCCGCGACTGCGTATTCGATATATTCGCAGCTACCTTCCATATCTAGAGGCCGTCTCCTCTATCAGAGCTTGGTATTACTAAAGATAAAATGTTAAAAGGCGCATAGAAGGGACAATTTTTCTACCAAATTTAATGAATGTTTCTGTCAAGTTTAATAAAACTAATCCAATTCTATTGAGGACAACGGACATATACAAGTATATATGTCCTACAGACACTGCCTTTCGTCATACATAAGGAAATTGCTCTGAAACAAGACGAACAACATATAAAGTGAATGCGTTAATGCGTGAAGTTCACAAAGTGAATGCGTTATATGCGTGGAGTTCACAAAGTGAATGCGTTATATGCGTGAAGTTCACAAAGTGAATGTGTAATATAGAGATCATGTCCGTCCGCCAATCCAGATCTACTGGACTGATTTCATTTAAATCTGATATTGGAATCTATGTTAACATTTCGTGGGTAAGCATCGTTTTAGTGGCCTATGCCTAAATTTACTTCACTTGAAAATTAAACAGATTTCTATCACATGTATTCAAAACAACTCGCCATTTTGCATATGCAGAATGTACAGTCCTATAATAAGCTATCTTTGTAACAGGTAGTGCAGGCCTATAAGCTTGTGAGACGTCGGGGCTCCCACATTTTCTAGATAGTCGGCTCACAGATGGCGGTAAGGTTGTCAGCCTTACACACCGGCCGCCCTTTACCCCTATGAAGATTCCTGGTACTCATTTCCGTTAGAGGCTAAGTCGACAACCGGGCAAAAGTGCGGCTGGAAGGATTAGGTCAACTGAATAATCCAGTGACCTCATCGGCAATCGAACCCGCGATACGGTGTGTATATACGTCTTTCTAGAAACAAAGCCAAAGTAGCTCAGTTTTGGAAAATATTTTTGGCGGGTGGGGGGGGATGTTACGACTTAATCAGCCACATTGTACAGCGCCGAGCGGTAGGACAGATGAATGATGAACTGGAAATATTTTGAAGAAGGCAGTCGTAGCCGAAATCGAGGTAGTAATACGACATTCACCTGGAGGGACCGAGGAAAGCCACGAAAATCCTCAGTCAGGGTAGCCAGTGTCCTCGCTGAGATTCGAACAGATCTCTTTCCTTATACAAGTCAAAAATGTTACTTTGCTTGGTGTCGCTGGTCATTGGGAAAGCCAGGACAGTAGTTCTGCCTCCTATTGTCAGCAATACGCAACAAGAGAAAAGTTAAAGTTGTCCCTGTGCTTAACTACTTAAGCACTGCGCCATGAAGGTGTATGGGGGAGTTGAGGTATATATCCACATTTTCTTGACCTCGGCAGTACTTGGAGGTGAGTGGTCAGCTTCACGCCCCGGCCGCTTTGCCCCAGGGGAAAGAGCCCCGGGTACCCATTGGATAGGATGCTAGGTGGGCCCCAGAGCCGGTCTGGACGACGTGGAGAAGAAAAAATTTCTGACACTACCGGCACTCGAACTCCGAGTCCTCCGTCGTCCAACCCGTAGCCAGTCGCTATACCGACTACGCTATCCCGGCTCCTCCCGTCCAACCCGTAGCCAGTCGCTATACCGACTACGCTATCCCGGCTCCTCCCGTCCAACCCGTAGCCAGTCGCTATACCGACTACGCTATCCCGGCTCCTCCCGTCCAACCCGTAGCCAGTCGCTATACCGACTACGCTATCCCGGCTCCTCCCGTCCAACCCGTAGCCAGTCGCTATACCGACTACGCTATCCCGGCTCCTCACGTCCAACCCGTTGCCAGTCGCTATATCGACTACGCTATTTTGGCTCCTACGCAAGATTAACATACCCGAAATATTTAATTGTGATCGTCATATACGAGTACGTTATACATCTTATGATCGATGCAAACAGCTTGGCTAAATATAATTCTTAACAATACCGTCAACACAGATACGGGTATCTGCTATCAATAGCATTTACTCTTACACACTGCAAGTTTCTATCCTATATCTGTGTAATTTTCTGGTTGTATACACACTTAAACATCAATAATCTTAATTGTTACGTCATGCATTCTAATAGAACAGACCCCTTGCATATCTATCATAAGGTCAGACAGTAAAATATATGAATAGCCCGGGTGAAAGCGGGTTGAAATACCTCCACAGTAACCCTGCGAGTCATGGGGAATCCGGTGCCTGGAGGTATAATTGGGTCACCTTGTTCCCAGGGGACATAAATACAGAGATCTGGTCCTCCAGACTGGGAGTTGGGCGCAAGGCTGACGACCTTGCTCTGTAAAAAAGAAAAGTACTGTTGCGAAATCCAAACAAGTGAAAGCCGGATGCATTCTGGCAGAATCTTCTAAGAAAGGCTATCGCTCAAAAAGGCTGTTTAGCCAATGATTATGGTGATGATGATGAAGTGTGAGAACATGTAGGCCATAAAATTAATTTAAAACACAACAGGATGCTACAATCAAAGCTTGACTACATTTTTAATTTACGTAGTACAGGGAAGATTTTAATCGGGTTGACGAGTTCACGGCTCCGAGCTTCGCGGCGACCGATGCGCTACGTGCAGCGGGACGCATGCGAGTTTTGCCGATGACTCAGCGTGCTTGACGGCAGATAACGTCTGGAATGAAGGGAAATAATTAACTTGTAGAACTCTACATGCCATTATGTTCATGCATGGGAGTTTGTTTATATTTCGTCAGTAGTAGGCAGCAGTTATCAACGCCACGAGCCATTTGTTCCTAGTTAACAGTTAGCAGTGTGGGACGACATGGTTCGCGAAGCTTTAGAGCAACGTGTGTTTCTGTATGACACCTACGTGAAATACGGATCTGCTAGAAAGTGTCGGAGAAAATTTCAATGTAAATTTCGTGATGAAAGGGTTCCCAGCAGGCAAACAATTCGTAATTTTGTGAATAAACTTAGAACATCGGGACTCTTAATAGACAAGGAAAAATCATAAGCACCGGGTGCTTACTGAAGAAAAGTTAGACGACACAGAGACCAGACCTGAACATACACATAGAAAATCACTGAAACGTCTAGCTCAGGAGACTGGGGTGTCAAAGTCTCGTGCAGGAACGGCAACACAATCGCTGAAGCCATACAGTGGAAGTTGGCGTCTTGTGTGGTTGTAAGTGGAAGAAAGATTGTTGTAGTGTGCTTTTAACGAAACAATTAATTTCGAAAGATATTAACGTGTAGAGGGATCACCTCTGATTGGTGAACAAAGGTAAGAACTTCCCTTTATTCCAAATGTTATCGGCATGCTGAGTCATCGGCACAATTCGCGTGCGCTCTGCGGCCGTTCTTGTGCCGATCGCAGTGAAGCGCGGAGCTGTGAACGCGTCAAGTTCATTAAACACCTCTCTGTAGTTTTACCGGTATAACCCCTATGGGTGCAGAAACAAGCCAACTGCTATGAGTAGCGTCCCGAGAATAAGCATAACACACGAGTTCCTCAGAATTCGACCGTGTGAGTCCGACTTCAAATTACTTGAGCTTAGAACCGCGACATTACTATGCTCGAGAAAGCTAGCCGTTCCAAAACAAAAACTCGGTTTATTGAAACGTTAACCAATCCCTGGACCTCCGGACACAGGCCACCACTATACAGCATTCCGTTCTGTACTGCCAGACACTGAAGAACATAACTGGAAGATAATTTATGCCTCTGTGCAGTGTAGTGAGTATGATGATTGGTTCTGCTGTAATATCGATCACACAACCAATGAAGGATGGAAATTTGCAGAGGACACCTTTTCAGGCTGTCTGTATTTTTGTAACTTGTTTACTAGCCTGGAAGAACTTTCGCAGGAAACCAAACAATTTCCTGATCACCCTAATCAAGCCGAAGCCTGATATGGGGCCTATATATTACATTTATTCAAAAGTACAGTAATCCATTTATTTGTTCAAAAGTACAGTAATCCCTCTGAGCCCAGTGGGTATACAATATGTACCTCGTGCTTTCACGTGCAAAATTTCTGTATTTTGTCCATACAGTATATTTATGTGTTTTCGCTTTGTTCTCACAATAGACAGCGATTTCTTTAGCAGACAGCATTGACTGCTTGGTCTTTATAGTGGAGACTTTGTGCGTTTACTGTGAGGTACGATCTGAATATTTATATATTATTCTTATGAAGTTCAATCTTTAAATTTGTAACTACCATAATGTTTTTGTTGTGTTTACAGTTGTCGCTAGAATCCGAGAACGACCAGCACCATGATATCGTGCAAGGCAGCTTCAGGGACGCATACCGTAACATGACGTATAAACACGTCATGTCTCTCAAGTGGGCCCTATACTTCTGTCCCGGAGTGCGTTACGTGCTGAAGACGGACGATGACACTTTCATTAACACCCCGGTGTTGATACGGGCACTGACACAGGTTGTCCATTAGACTGGCAGTTGTCATTTTTTTCCATTGTTGTAATGCATATGGCCGGCGCGGCATCACCAGCAAATATTCGGCTGTCTGGAGCGGTAGGATTTTAGGGGAGGCACATTTTACACACATTTTTCGTTTTCTTTCTTTCTTCTTTTGAAATGAAAATATCGTGGCCGTTAATTTCCAATAATCTCAACAAGTTGTGAAACACTATAAATGAAATACGACATCAATGGCGGCTTTTATCGTGGTGTCTGGAGGGTTCGTGTTGTTAATTGTGACGAATTCTTTAGGAAATCGGTCTGTTTGTATTGTAACTCCTGGAAGGGACGAGATTTCTCGTCTCCTCGGGCTCCATTGTAGCTGGCGCCTATGCGGGTACTTCATTATCAAAGACAGAAACGGAGGAGTATGCTGCCTACACCCTCTTGCTTATCAGCAGCATGTAGTACACTGGAGAGCGTTTCAGTTATCTAACCTGGCTGTCCGTTAAAAGTCTCGCACTTTCACAGAGACTCTGGCACTTTACATTATGATCTTCTCTGCCATATTCGCCAGATTGTTACAACGGTGGAGAGGATAAGACTTAATCTAGTTTCACGGTATCTTGTGGGAACTGAAGCACTCCACATCCGCTGTTGTGTAACTTTCTGTGCAAGGACTTCAACTGCTCACTCTGCTACTACGGCCACGAACGCTGAAGACGAACTTTTCCACTTGCGTCTCCATCAGTCCTGTCTTGACACTGTTGTCGTACATTCTGAACGTGACAATATATCGTTCCCCACTTTACCTCGAGGATTTACCACACTTCATCCAACTTGAATATTATGTTCTCTGTCCGTCACACTGCTTGACATCTCCTCACATATTTTCAGTAGCATTAATGTCCGAATAGTAGGAGGTAAACGTAGAACTACACGTATGTCCATTCTCGCTTAAAATCTCATAAAAACGTATCTCTTCTGTCTTGGTTTACGAAGTTTTATAAGGTTTCAACAAGTCACTGTTGATGGTATTTGTACTTCAGGAGCCATTCTTCTATATCAGTCTTTTTTGATCAAGATGTACAATATACGCCATGAATTACACCTTTTTCTGTTCCCGCGAGTCAAATTATCAGCCGTTGCCCCCTAGCGGCTGTTGCTATGTATCCCTGGTATCACTATGCAAAGTTGCATGTTGGGTACGGGAGCTGTGGGTTTATGTTTCGTTACTATAGTCCATTCGAGGAGACGAGACAGCGTAAACAAAGCAAGCCCCGAGTCGCCACAGCTGACAGCAAGGAGTGGACAAAGCGTGCAGTTACTCAGTGTACTCACTGCATTCGGACGCACGTTAACCTGCATTCAGACTGAAGAGTGAACTTTGGACGCCCCTGCAACGATACACGCATCACGTGATCCCTGCATGATTTCATTCAAAGAGCGAAGGAGATACCGCGTGCATTTGTTTACGAGGACTCTCTCGTCTCAGCGAATGGATTGTAGATACAATCGCCGTATGAATGAATGAATGGGCCCTCTTGGCCCTTGCACCGAGACCACAGTGATTTATTGTACTTCCCCTTATGATTAACTTCTCAGCAATCCTGGGCTTCGAATGAAGCGCAGGATTTTGTACATGGGGACGTCGAAATAGTCACTTTGCTCCATAAAAGATTGACCCAAGTGACGTAATCTTAAATACGAGTAAGCTAAGGCCTCACATTCACACAGGATGTGTGTGGCTGTTTCATTTTCTTCTTGACACCTCTCACAAGTGGGACTATCAGTTAGTCCCAGTTTGGGCCGCGCCATAGCTCAAGCGGTTAGTCGCTGGCTTCCCACCGCGGTGGCCCGTGTTCCATCCCGGGGTCTGGTCAAGTGGGATTTGTGATGGACAGAGTGGCGCTGGGGCAGGTTTTCTCCGAGTACTTCGGTTTCCCCTGCCAATCTTCATTCCACCAATTGCTCCACAATCACCCTCACCTATCATCTGGGGCTGGTACAATAGGCCAGAAGTGGCCGCAGTACAAGGGACTTAGTCCCACCCCACTAGCAATAAAAAATAGTCCCAGTTTGAAGAAGTGTCCTTTGAGGTGACAGTATCCTGTAAGGAGTCCCACCACCATACAATCGCCGTAACCACTGGCTTTAAAAAATGTATGAACATTACATCGCTGTGTTTATATACGAGTAATTAAAAAAGTATAATGTTTTATTAGTAGAAGTAAAAAGTAAAGCTATTCCTGTAACAGGCCGTGAAGGCCCATAGGGTTGTGAGACGTTGAGGGTCCCACATTATCTAGACAATCGGCTCACAGATGGCGGTAAGGTTGTCAGCCTTACATGTCTGCCGCGCTCTACTCCCCAGGAAAATTATTTAATTAATTCCTGGTACTCATTTCTGTTAGAAGCTGAGTCGACCCCAGGGCCATAGTGCGGCTGGAAGGATTAGGTCAATTGAAAAAATCCAATGACCTCATCGGGACTTGAACCCGCGACCTTCCGGTCTGTAGCATAATGCCTCAACCAACTACGCTACCGCGTGCCCTAATGTTTTATCAGTAGTAAATTCTAAGCACGTCCACAAAAGAATAACGAAGCATTAATCCAGCAGGTTAGTGTGACGGTAAGGCTGGGTTGCCGAATATCCTAACTGAGGTTTCTCGAAATCCCCTCAAACTTCTGCAGACGAATGTTCGGATGATACCTTCAAACAGAACGCCTTGCATATCCTTACCTATTTACATTCGAAATGTGTATTTCGGCGTTATAGTTTCTAACCATTGTAGAGGATGGGATATTGTTAAATAGCAAAAGAATAAAAAACCCTCGACCGACTACACTACATCAGTTAGTCTAACTATTCTCCATGAAAGGTAAAGTTTACCCCATGCTTAGCTAATTAAAGACTATGACATGAAGACGTATGGGGAGTGGATGTACAGATCCACGTATTCTTGACTTCGGCACTGGTTCGACGTGATTGGTCCCCTCGGTAGTCATTGGAAAGGAGGCTCGGTGCGTCCCAGAACTGGTGTGGTAAGACGTAGAGATGAGAAAAATCTTACCCATACCGGGACTCGAACAGCGACCCCTTTGCCGTCCACCCCGCAGCCAGTCACTATTCCGACTCCTTGTTTCATATACCTCGTATAAGGCTGTTAAATGACCATGATGTGTTGGTAGGGGCGCCTCCGGTGCGGGATGAAGAAATTGTTGCTGTGTCGGGTGTGGAGTGGCGTGGCAGTCAACAGGACCGGAGACAAATGGATGGTGACTCAGGAAGAGTTCAATGACAACGTATACCCAGACTACTGCTCAGGCACCGCCATCCTGTACTCCCAGGTACAGATATCCCGAATACATAATAATGCAGGACTTAATAAATGTTACGATTTCCAATCTGATGCACAGTATTTTCTTCAGTATTATTCCAACATTTTCCTACATATATTTGTATATGAATATGCGCATATGTAGATTGCAATTTCAGTCGACAATGTAACTGGAAGCCTTTCTGGCCAAACTTCGTCATCGATCGGCAGAAAACTGTCAGATATTGTGTATTTTTTTATTGCTAGTGGGGTGGGACTAAGTCCCTTGCACTGCGGCCACTTCTGGCCCATTGTACCAGCCCCAGATGATAGGTGAGAGTGATTGTGGAGCAATAGGTGGAATGAAGATTGGCAGGGGAAACCGAAGTACTCGGAGAAAACCTGCCCCAGCCCCACTTTGTCCACCACAAATCCCACTTGACCAGACCCCGGGATCGAACCCGGGCCGCCGCGGTGGAAATCCAGCGACTAACCGCTTAAGCTAAGGCGCGGCCCAGATGTTGTGTAACTCGAATTTAATAACAGCCAGTCAGCATGAGCATTATGAAAGCGCCCTTAATTTTATAAATTGTTAATTGAACATGGTTTCAAAAATTGCTTGTTAGTTACAAAGTCAACACTCAATTAACTTTATCAAAATCTGACAAACAGCAAGTACTGAACTCGCGGAAATAAATTTCAAATACATCTTCTATCATCACTGCCTGGATTTTTTTTTGTGGAGAAGAAAGCAACTTATAACAAATGACGAACAATAATACATATTGTCATTTTCGTTGCATTTTGAAAAACACTTAGTGGAAATGTACTCCGGACTTTTGCCAGGCCCTATATTATGTTATAAATACATATATTATTTGTGATTTTAAATACTTCACTGGCCTCGATATTTACTTGTTGCTGATAAAATCTTTTAGCAAATAAACTGAACTTATTTAGTATCCACGTCGTTGACCGTGGCGTCCCCTTCATTCAAACGGTTTACAGGACAAGTGTACGTTCAGTTTCTTTCGTTCATGCATCCTATCTGCTTACCTTCTGTTACTATATTCTCTCGCCATTCATGCATACAATATTTCACTTAACGTTAAATTAATTATATACAGACATATAATCTTTGTATAATTTTCTTTCCTTACTGGAACTATTTATTTTTTTTAGCAGAGAAAAAGTAAATGGACGCCATTTACGTTTCATACAGCTATACTGCTGGAAAGCTGTTAGCTCCACGCAGCGTCAGAACTTATTTTCCCTTTTATTTCATTAAATACACGTATACATCGCGTCAAAAAGTGTCTCAAGTAGGTGCTGTAAGCTTTGAAGGGATCCACATTTAGTTTCATGTATAAAGCTTCTGTACAAGTTATTTGGGTGGGGAGTACGCGGTTGTGTAGTTGCTGAAGACATTATGCTACAAGCCGAAAGGTCGCGGGTTCGATTCCCGATTCCGTCATTAAATTTTTCAATTCAGCTTCTACCTCACAGAAGACATTGTGTTTCGATTATATGCATCGGGCGGTTTATGCTGTTCAGATAAATAATCACTGTTTACTGGGAGATGCACACAAAGCCCAAAAATAAGTTGTGTGAACAAAATTTAGAGTTTTTGAATGGTAGTACATACAGCAGCCGCTTTCATTGAGAGACTGAAGTTTGATTTGATTGTTAGCTTATCATTTATTTCTAGATATCCCAAATATACTTCTGTGTGTGTTGATATTGTGGCAGGTAGACCCGTGGCTAGGCAACGACTGCGAAAGAAGCAGCTATACAACAGCCATTACTGAGTAACGGCTTCGCATATTTCAAACATTAACATAGGGAAGGTGTTTCCGGTGCGGTCCGTGCCGAGATGTTATAAGCAGGATAGTTAGTGAGAATCGACAGTTGGATCAGGGAGTTAGTTGTGAAACAGTCGCCAGCCGGTAAGAACGTGAGCACGGAAGCAGAGGACATTGTTGCGATCCGTCACCAGGCAACGACTGGTGAAGACACAGCAGGCTGAGAAGACCTAGTGTGTCCTATAGTGATTTGTGAAGTGTAGGAACGAGTTGTATAAGTGTGCAATGAATCCGATTATCAATACAAATCCCGTCTATAGTCACTCAATCATGTGACAATATAAGCATATATTTTCCTATTGCAAGAAAAAATAACAAATTCAGTGAACCCCAATTGGTAGTCGGGAGGAGGCCGGAATTTCATCGTCGCCTTTCCAGCATGTGTTTACATTCATTCGTGGTAAATGTAAACCAAGTTTGATCCATTTTTATACTTATAATAATTTTCATGTTTTCTATTTTGATGAAAAGCCATCTGCCGTTTTGGAGCGATGAGAATGCAGATATGCAAGGAAACACGAAAAACAGAACACACCAGTGGGAGATATCGATGCATATTTGGGGGGGGGGGTAATAATAGATGCTTCTCAAGGAAACTGGATGGAAGAGGCTCCGAATACAGTCCTGAGACGGGCTCTTGTGAAAGCAGTTATACAAATGACAAGTGTATGACATGGAAAATGTTAATGCACGCTTTGGCCTAAAAATATATACAACACTTTTCAATGTTGTGTGCTTGTCAGTATAACCAGATTCTTATTGTTACTGTGCAAGAAATTCGTAGACTCTCCTTCAGCCATATCTAAATACTAATTGAATGTAAATCTGTGTTTCGGCAGGACGTGGTGTACGCGCTGTACAGGAAAGCCCAGGAAACGCCACATTTCTGGGTGGATGACGTACATATAACCGGAACGGTGGCCGGAGAGCTGAACTTGCCTCAGGAGACAATGGAGAGCGGAACACTCAGTATTCGGTTTACGCACAACACTGTCAAGTGCGATCATTCTCTTGAGAAGGATGCACCATCCTGGATTCGCTCATTCCTGTTCAGCAAACACGACCTGTCGACCAGCGACATGGCAGCGCTGTGGTCGTATGTGAAAAACTGTGCAATGACACCTTAGCCGTCATTGGGAATTCCGGAAAGAAAAGCCAAATATTGTATCTCAGTTGTGGAACAAAACGCCAAAGATTACACCACAATCGTGAAGGATACTGCCAAAGATAAGACCATACCTGTGGAAGGAAGGGAAGAAGATCGGCTGGTAGTCCTGCCACACATCTGACCCTAGTTATAGAAGATAATGTCAAAAAAATGATTAGTACTCCTAGATGGAAGCACCAGAGATCGGACCACAATTGTGAACGGAAGTGCCAAATCTTATTCTTTAATGCCTATTTATGGAGAGACATCCTAGAGATCTACGACACGGTGCCAAAACTCGATTTGCTCAGAATTACTAGAGGTAGTAGACTAAACGATAGTCTTAATGAGAATTAATTCTAGTACCTTCCAGTTAGTTTGTTAAGTAGCATAAGATGTCTACAACTTTCTCCGTAGAGATGTGAAACGCGTTAGCTATGACAGACTAATAATGACTACTGAAACAACACTGTGATATGAAGTGTTTATACCACAAAATGTTAGCCACCTGTTAATTTCCTAACTTGTACCTGCTGCTACAGCCGGCATCGCGCAGAGTCGGCATATGTACGCGTGCATGTGTGTTACCGGACAGCAACAAAGTGTTTTGTGAGCATAAAGTCTACGTGTAAACAGTCACCTGACAGAGTTGACACTTCACCAGTGATTATGATTGAGATAATTTATTTTATTACTCAAGGATTTCAATTTTAGTAACCTGAACTTATTAACTGTGACAGATCCAGCGATAGCCGGTATGGAACGTCATACATATTAAATTGTTTCATATGATTTATACATTGCTGGAAGTCTGCATGTGCTACTTAAATTACTATTAAAGTTTATTGCTTAAAATACTCAAATTACTTCATGATTCAATATGTTTCTTCGAAATTTGTTTGTAAGATTTTAAAAGAGTATTGTGCTACACTAAAATTTACTGAATGTCATAAAACAAAATCAGAAACAAAGTATTTTACTATGCTACGTGTTCATAATAAACCAATGTGAGTACATTTTAAGCTTAATTATTCATAAATAATAATAATAATAATAATAAATGAGTACATGATAAAATTAGAAGAGGAATGAATCAGGATTTTTTAAGTATTCAGTTTAAGAACCGACTTTTTGTTTTCCCATATTCTAAAAGTCAAGATGCATATATAAAATATTAATTCTGGCAACAATTTTGTGCGGCTGTGAAATGCGATTTATTTGAAAAAATAACGTTAACTTAAAATGTCTGAAAACAAATGCTATAGAAATTAATTGATTTGCGGGGTATGAACTAATTGTTCACTTTAGTATTATACTGTAACATCCTGTTGCACTTTTCACTTAGTATCAGTTCCACAGTCTAACATACAACACTGATGTTCTATAAGGCAATATTTAGTTATTCATTTTTAAGTTTTACATTACATGTTTCGAACAATGTTGTCATCATCAGGTGTCAAAAATTATGAATGATAAAACTGCTGCCTTCTGTATCACTGCTTAGGTTAATATATGGTCCTCTCGTTGCACATATGTGTTCGAGGTCGTGGGTTGTGTTCCTTCCTGTTTTGATATGTTACGTGCCTTGTTTTCAAATGCCAATTGATACTAAAAATGTTCAGTTTAGAATGTAACATAATGAAGAACATTGTGAATTGGATCTAACAGTTCGTGATGATTGTGTATTAATAGAATGATCGAATCTTTGGACATTACCGATCGTCGTAAATTTATTTGAGACGACATTTCGAAGACTTGACGATGTCTACATCCTCAGATAAAGGGCCTACTCTACTGGGCCCAGTGGATAGAGTTGGTCCACATCTCCGGGGATAGAAACAGAGTCTGGTCTCCGAAACGCCGTCTCAAATAAAATTACGATCTAATGTATATTTCTATTTTGAAGTGCGGCCCTGGACTATTATTTATAGGGCTGAGGTGGCCCTCTGTACAAGTTGAGTTTGACATGCCTGGTCTAAAACAATGAGATGCTTTATTGCCAATGCTTTTCAACTTTGCTTTGGAATATGTCATTAGGAAGGTCCAGGAAAACCAGGCAGGACTGAAATTAAATTGGATATACCAGCTGCAGCTCTGTGCTGATGATGTGAACCTACTGGGTGATAATGTAAATACTATACAGAAAAACACACAAACTTTAATTGACGCTAGTAAACACAGAGAAAACTATGTATATGTTGCTGTCTCATAACCAGAATGCAGGGTAAAATGATGACATAAAGTTAGGTAACAGATGTTTTGAAAATGTGCCACAGTTCACATGTTTGGGAACAATGGTAACAAATCAACATTTGATTAAGTAGGAAATTAAGGGGACAGTGAATTCGGATAATGCTTGCTGCCATTCAGTCCAGAACCTTTGGTGTTCTTGTCTGCTGTCTAAACACATAAAAATTAGAAAGCGTAGTTGGTTGAGGCATTATGCTACAAGCCGGAAGGTCACGGGTTCAAGTCCTGAAGAGGTCATTGGATTTCTTCAATTGACCTAATCCTTCCAGTCGCACTATGGCCCTGGGGTCGACTCAGCTTCTAACAGAAATGAGTACCAGGAATTAATTAAATAATTTTCCTGGGGAGTAGAGCGCGGCCGGCGTGTAAGGCTGACAACCTTACCGCCATCTGTGAGCCGATTGTCTAGATAATGTGGGACTCTCAACGTCTCACAACCCTATGGGCCTCCATGGCCTGTTACAGGGATACATTTACTTATTTTACTTTTATATACAAAATTATAATTTTGCCTTTGGTTCTGTATGGGTGTGAAATTTGGTCTCTGACATTAAGGGAGGGACACAGACTGAGGGTGTCTGAGAACAGGGTGTTGAGGAGAATATTTGGACTGAAGAGAGATGAAGTGACAGGAGGTTGGAGAAAGCTGCATAATGAGGAGCTTCTTAACTTGTACTCTTCTCTAAGTATATTTACAATGATCAAGTCAAGGACGATGAGATGGGCAGGACATGTAGTGCGAACGGGGGAGAATAGGAATGTATATAGGATATTGGTGGAAAAGCCACAAGGAAAGTGTCCACTAGGAAGTCCAAGCCATAGGTGGGTGGACAATATTAAAATTGATCTTAGAGAAATAGGATGGGATGGTACGGATCGGATTGATCTGGTTCAGGATAGGGACCAACAGAGGGCTTTTGTGAACACGGTAATGAACTTTCGGGTTCCATAATATGTTGGCAAGTTCTTCAATGGATGCACAATTGGCGGCTTTTCAAGAAGTGCTCAGGTCCATGAGTGAGGGAGTGAATATTTTAATGTGGAAAGTGTCAAAGGATATTTATACTTTTCTGCTGTACCTGTGATGGTTTATGGAACCTGGCTCCTTAAAAGACCCCTGTGGACTTGATAAAATCATCTCACTATCTTTTTGTTTTCTTTTTTTTTCACATTAAGCAATGATAAACACACTGAAGATGAACCAACCGACTGTTCTAGTTCATTGTTCATTGTCCATTTATTTTCCATATATATCCCTACAGGTTAAAAAACCAGGATGTGGAAATTGTCCTTTGAATACAGATATCAATATGCATATACAAGATCAAAATCATATACATCAATCAATAAACATAAATAATAATGTAAGGTAAAAGAATCTAATAAAAATAAACATACATTAAGAATAACTTACTCACGTTATTAATCCCACTTGGCTTTAACAAGCCAAGGGATAATAAAACAAGTCAATTACATATACATACATGTGTGTTACAAGATACAAAACAAAACAAGCAAGACAGGATTATGCCGTGTGACTAGTCTTCCATTATTTTCAGTTCCATCTCCAATCGCCATAGTTACTTCTTGATTTACAATATTTGCAGAAGAAGGGAAGCATATTTAACAATCATGAACATAATACATCATCTCTAAATTGGTCAAATGCGAATATACAATATTCATGCTTTAAACCATCGATATACTATGTCTTTCTGAAGGTTGAAAAAAAACCTGCTATAAAGGGGCACACCTGGCCGCGCCATAGCTCAAGCAGTTAGTCGCTGGCTTCCCACCGCGGCGGCCCGGGTTCGATCCCGGGTCTGGACAAGTGGGATTTGTAGTGGATAAAGTGGCGCTGGGGCAGAATTTCTCCGAGTACTTCGGTTTCCCCTGCCAATCTTCATTCCACCAATTGCTCCACAATCACCCTCACGTATCATCTGGGGCTGGTACAATAGGCCAGAAGTGGCCGCAGTACAAGGAACTTAGCCCCACCCCACTAGCAATAAAAAAAAGGGGGTCACACCCCATTTTCTGCAGGTAACCCCATTACAAATTGTCAGTTGTAATTCTGTACCATTAGTTTCTTCTCCTACCTTTGCTGCCATCGTTCCCGGGGAGATGTCAAGGCTGCGGTTTGCACGTGCACATTGTCGTAATCCATTTCAGTGAACACAGTTCTCACTTGTAAACTTTCATGCTACGAAACTGATTGCAATTACAACACGATATTTTAAAACAGATTTCTTTTAGAAAAACTAACATTTCCATCAAGTAAATTCAATGTTCACTCATATATGTGGCGATCACTTGCGATATTAAATACAAGTACTAATATAAACGCTGCAACTGTAGGTATATAGTGTAATTTGGCAAGTGATGTGTCCATGGAACAATAATGTATTATATCTTCCTTTAACAAATACTTAATAATTTCACAGAAATACTCGAAAAACTATGTTCATTACAACGAATTCCATCACACATTTAAACTTTCCAAACTTTGAAATATTGTAGGTGAAAACAACTGAGAATCGAATTCTACCTTGATCAGTAGCGACACTGTCACAGAGGTCACAGACGCCTCACTCACAATTAGTACGTTAAAACGCAGTTTCACCCGTTTCACCCATTACGATGCATTGCTAGACATCTGTTGGACGATATCGTAACTACTTCGAAACCTCATGATCATCGTATCATGACGACTAGACCGTGAGAATATAAGCTATGGTGGATACTGTCCTCCGTAGACCCCACCTCGCCCATCGAAGTTTTGCATGACGACTCAAGAAAGGTTAAAAGATGTCTTAAATCCTCAAGAAAAAGTTTCGAATGATTATTCCTCTCATGTTCCAAAGGCTGGAAAATAATAAGTTGAGCCCAGAGCTCGAAATGGTGGTGGTGGTGGTGGTGGGTGGGGGGCATTTTCTTTTTTCAGAATATCAGCAACAATTTCAGTCTTCAGAACTACTGCGCCTTTGGACTTCGTCCATTGTCTGCTATTCTAAAAGATGTAGAATACAACATTTCAGAAACTGGACCTGTTTCCATTCTCAGGAGAGGTGATACACCTAGGCTGTTGGGTCCTTTACTAAGAGCTAACCTCCAGTACAATGATTAATGTTAGCTCTTTCTAGGGGACCTAACACAGTAGATACCTCACCCCTCACCTGAGGACAGAAACAAATCCAGTTTCAAAAACTTGGTTTTATAGTTTTTTTTAATACTGGACGATGAATAGAGACCAAAGACACAGTAATTCTGAGTGTTATACTCCATCTTCAGAACACTATTGAATCTGTTTAATTTTGTTTCATATAACATACAGAAAACAAGACGATACACCTTGATTGACTAAAGAGAGGAATGAAGCATGGTAAATATGGTTCAAGCACATAGGTGATGAAAACAGAGGCAGGGGGAAGAGATCAGTTAGGTTACCAGAATAATGTTAAATGGGCCCTAAAACAATCATGGAACAAATTTACTACAGGCTTGGAAGACTGCATGGAAATATGAGAGATTAGTGATGAAAAATAAATGAATAATAGTACAATAACTTAATGTATAAATTGTGACAAAGCATATACCAACATAAAAAGGGAAAAAGATTTGGTTTCATACAATTAAAAATACCACAATATCTTACAGAAGTAAAGTAAAGTGATAGTACAAAATGTGTTAAAACAAAACTAGGAATATTCAAAACAAGTTGTAGATTGAAAGAAGAAATAATCCTCTCACTGATCTCATCCAGTGTCATAGTTGATAAAACTCCTGAAGAGGAGAGAACAGAACAACAGACATGAAAACATCAATGTTTGCAAACAATGTCAAGAGGATCAACTTATGGGAAAAACTTAATGAGGAAAACTTTCACAAGTAACACACAATAGCAAATGTAATGATTAATTTATTCATATACATAATGACATAAAACCAATTCAAAAGCACAATTAAACAATATTTTACAAGATATCAGCATTTCTTAAGAAGTAGGAAGACCCTAAAAACCCTCTAATCCCCCTATGAATTCCATAAATAGTTTCATTTACAACAGTGGCAATATCTGTAATAACTGCCTCCATAAAATATATATAAATACATTTTCAATACATTTCTATAAATATGTATACTGATTAAATCCAATGATGAACCTCAGCAAAGATTCTAGATACAGGTACGACACTAGCAAAGTTAGCACCAATGAAGTGAGGTGATCTGCACAGATACTCAACTAGTTGAGCAAATGATCTACTGCTTCCTACCCTGCCTTACAACCTGCAAGCATCAGTTTCAGACATCACTTTGTTCTCACTTGATACAATGTCAAATATCACATGTAAACCAATGTATAAAATTTATATGGCCAAAAATCAGTCTCCAGTCATACTTGATCATGCATTATAAATAATTATTTTTACAGTACTGACACTCCTTCCAATATTTTTCTTAACAATGCTGTGCTAATAATGGGAAATTAATACATGTTCTATGTGATTTTGGATCCCTCACTGTGGTGCTCATTTAATGAAAAAAACGTGATGACAGTTAATCAACAGTATAGATCCTACATTTCACAAACACATGCTGATGACAGAAATAATGGCAAGAACAGACATATTATGCCTGGGAACAGAAGAAATAAAGTAAGTGTGGTAATAGTGAGGGATCAAAATAGCATCATATATTTTTAGTCATGTTTGTACAAGGACAATGAAAATAACAAAATTCATACACTCACAAGAAATCAACAGTTCAAAGGGTCCATGTCCTGGACCCCATTTCATCCCCAGTACAAGACCATGGCAGAGCACAAACAACTGGATAGACCAGGAGAACATAACACGCCTACAGGCAATTATGTAGGGGAAGGCCATCAGATGTCCTGCATAGCAACCGCATAGAAGTGAGGTACAAAGACACTGTTCAGGCACTTGAAAGCCACTATGGGGACCACCAAATTGCCTCCACATACTGTTCCCAGCTAAAATCTTGGGCACAACTAAACAGCATATCTCTGCAAGGGTTTCTTCCACCATCAAGCAGTTTTCTCGCCAAGACTGCCCAAATACTTTATCTGGAGGAGAGCTGCTCATACAGTTATCGATGGGATAAGGTGCTGGGAAGTGAAGTTCTCTTTCCTCATGGGTGGCGAGAGAACGCTGGACAAGCCTCTAAGTCAAGCCCTGATAAGTGGTGGCAAAAGCCACAAACAGGCTGCCAGGAACTGAAGACAGGACTGAGAAACCTGTATGTTGACAGTGTGGGGGCAATCCCCATTTTAGGAGAGACTGCAGACAGGGACACCCTCAGAAGAACTTCCCAGAAGAAGTCAACAAAGGCCTAACAAACCAGAGGAGGACATGAAAAGGAAAAGCGATGGTGCCACTACTGCCCTCTTGATATGAACTCAGCATATCCACAGGGAAGGATGGTAAGAGCCTAAAATTGAGGGATGGATAAGGGACAACTCATATCTCATGACCACTTACACAGGAGCATCACTAATGACCACCAATGAGACATCACTGCAGGACTGCCCAAGAGACAGTTGGCCAAGCCATTCGTCCTGCAGATGGTATTACAAGAGACCCTTCCATAACAAAGCAATGAGTACATGAAGGTACAGCAGACCAGAAAGACTTGGAATGTGCTGTAGTTATTTTCATTATACGCAGAACAGCAAGAGTGTTATTACCTTTAGTTAAGAATAATAAACGTCCAATAAATTCAATTATCAATCCAAACTTTGTCTGCTCACCAGCCTGTGACAAGCTGGCTTGTCAGCTAACATGATTTTGAAAGTCTGCAATGACCTTCTGTGCAAATCTGAGAACTGTCTGTTGAATACAGAGCTATATATCAACCTAGGCCAGAGCTTCCGAGTCTCACCTTATGCACAAGGTGTTCTAAGACCTGGGAGTAAGCAAGAGAAGCACCACCTCCCTACACCTCCAATTGGATGGCATGATACAGTGGTATGTATAGACAGTTGTGGAACACCTATGTGAAGTTGTCACAACAAAACAGACAGAATGGGATGTGAGCATGAAAGCATTAGAACAATTAGCGTTACTGAACGCCAAAAGCAAGCAATGAGTATAGTATAAGAAGATATGTGTATAACAGAGTAGAAAAACTTAGAAAGTTGTGTAGCTTTTCTAGATGTAAACAGTAATAGATATCCAGTAAAGTCAATTATTGATCTAAATTCTATGTTTAATCACTAACCCATTAAAATATTTTAGTATAAGCTCTGGAAGAAACATATCATTTACTTTAAAACACATTATAGCATAAAATGATGATATGTTCACTATAAAATAATGTAATGCATGCATGCATACACTCACTCTCTTTCTCTCTCTCACTCACTCAGTATGGTTTAGTATAGTATAACCCAAAATACAGAGCAGTCCCAAATACTCTAGTACCACAATAAACAATTTTACACTTATGATTAAGGTGAGAGCCATCACATGAAAGACACGCATCAAATCATCTGACAAAGCTTCCCCAGACATACTTTAAATAACATCACTTTGTGTGCTTGCAATGCAGTGGTATATTCCCACAGGTCCTGTACATTCTGCCAGTACATCACAAAAACTGTTTGTTGTGTAATATAATTTAAATGACTGCATCCTGTTTGTATTTATAAGGTCATAAAATTAACGGTCACAAAAAACTTACATAAAAATACATTTCTTCCCAATTGTTTCGATTATAATTAATCCAAAAAAGTTCTAAAAAATATGGGTCCTTTGATTCTGAAAATATGAAGGTTTAGCATATATTTATATTGCATTTGGCCACACTGCATTTTATAGGAACACGTCAGTGTTCAACCAGAGGAACATTCATAAGGTGGACAAGAAAGTTCATTACATATGTACACGCTGTGGCTACATTCTATACAATATATGTTTCCTCACATCTCCCTGTAAATTCTCAAGTTGAAATATGAAATACATATATTGAATACAAGTTTTTATACACAATTAAAACTCTTTCAGAAAACAAACTATAATCTTATAAAATTACAAGAAGATTAAACATAAGGGGAGGATATACGAGTGACAACTTGAAATATAATTCTATAATTCTCTAAACAATAAATGTACATGTCATCATTACAGCTGACATTAAGGTCTCCAGAAACTGAGTTTTGTCTCTGGAAATTTTCAAACTCCCATGATGCTTTTCACTTGCGTGTCACATAATCTAGCATAACTTACATGTTTACATGTTAATCATGTTCATTCAAAGTAATTCTGACTGTTATGTGTTACATACCTATTATGCACAAATGGCAGATGGATTTGTCTTTAACAAATCAATATTATGACAAAAACTGCTTTCGAGTAATTCATTTCTAAAGCCTTCTGAATGAAGCTTCATAGGAAAAATCTTCAGGCTTAAAAAGATGATAATGTGGCACACATTCTGTACCCAGCTAATATACAAAACACAATTCTATGAAAATATTATAATGGGGTGAAACCTGCACATGGAATGAAAGCACTAAAATAAATATATTCTAGTTATACTACTGCAATAC